AGGTAAACAACAAGGTGATTCCCATTTACACAGTGGTAAGAGTGCTGGACCGGAAGTGTCGCACAAAAAAAACGGAAGCTGGCTGCGTTCTGTTTTGCCTCCGTGTTTCCGTGAAAAATAAGGTGGATACAAACCAATAGTTTGTATGCTCATGCAGACAGCGTAGAACTGAGTGTTGGAAATATGGCCCGATCTCTAGTGCCCCATACTCCACCAACCACCTTTACAATATGGATTTTGTATTGTACAGTATGTAAAACAAAGTATTAAATGTCCAGTGTTTAGGATGTATTGGGTGGAAAATGCAATGGAAGAAGTTTCAGTTGGTTGCAAATTGAAACCAACTTAAACTTCTCTTGTGTGCCAAGCGTGTAAAACCACAGTGGGCGACACAAAAACACTAATGGCTCTGTAGAACAAGCATGGCAGACTCTGTGGAAGAGGACCGCTCTGTATGTAGATATAAACAGCTCATTCCAAGGTCACGAAAATACAATGATTCTTAGCTTCAGGTAAACTAATGAAAACATAGTTATGAATATTATATACCGTTTCTGCCAATATATCCCCTTTAATCCTACACATTGTACCTTTAATGCAAATAAGCTATATGCTTGCTAAACATCTAACTCTAGGATTTTTGTGCCCAGAAATGGAGTATATTAATTTCAAATGTTGGGATAGGTTGAAAGATATAAAATATAGATAAAATGGAATGTTTATTTTATTGCTTTGACTCACTAGAAGCTCAATTAAAGGCCAACTGCTCCCTCATTAGTCTAACCCTATGCACAAAGGCATATTGTTGCTTTTTTGCCAATTTAAAATTTTAATAGCCGACCAGCTTTGTGTGTAATATCCTCATGGGTCAGCCTCTGATTCTGTAGTTTAAGGTAACAAGCCCTGAGGCGTCTGGTGCCTCTGCAAGGTTGTGCACAAACTCCACTGATCCTTGCAATGTCACAATCTGCCTCAATGTCATATTTGCCTGCTGTGACTCCTAATGCTCATCTTAGCCTCCCTGTCACTCTCCAGCGTGTGCACCAATGTGTGTAAGACAACGTCTACATCATGTCCTCATAAACTGTCCTTTCACACAGGTTGCTGGAGGCTGATTCCAAATCCATGCGGTCGATGAGCGGTTCACGGCGCAACAGTGGCTCCTCACTAGTGTCCAGCTCCTCGGCCTCCTCCAACCTGTCACACCTGGAGGAGGATACCTGGATCCTGTGGGGCCGCATCGTCAACGAGTGGGAAGAGTGGAGGCGCAAGAAGGACAAACTCCTGAAGGTGAGGATCAGGGACTGGAGATGATGAATTAAAGATCATGTTGTCCCAGGCAGCATTTTCCAAAGAATGAATCATCAAATAATGATTAAAAATGAGAACATCAATAAGAAGATTATCAGCCTCCTCATTTTATTTTTACATCTTGTTGGTCAGATTTCACAGGAAGTTTACTGGAACAACACAGAAAGAGGGCCCTGTAAATCCCTGACTCATTGCACTATTCATGCAGAGGCTGGATGGCCATTTATATCCATCTGTTTTTATTCATAAGGTCACAGTGCGTCCTTTTTACCCATGTGCATGTGTGTGACAGAAAAATGTAGCTCCGTTCTGCCTGAGGGCCCACGGCTTATATTTGCTCATGTTCCCCAAAAACTGGAAAGAAAACCTCAATGAGCGCTGCCTAACACCTAGGTCAGACAGCGCACCGCAGTGCTTTTTGCAGCTAGCTGTGCCTTTTTTTGGTCGTTGTTGTTGTTGCTAGGCAACCACCAAATCACCTGTCCTTCACTTATTCTCTATTTGCTTTGAAGTAAACTCACAAATCTGTATGTTAAAACCTGCAAAAAAATTAACAGGCAGAGAGTACTTGCTCTGGTTTTGGCTTAGGGTCAGAGGATGTTCCCAAAAGTCGCAGGGAAGTGGAGATCTGTGTGGGCACATGAGAGCTTCAAAAAGAAGATAAATCACAAGCAGTACCACTGGCTGGTCAAGGAACTTGATGATGGTCCATTCAAGGCTTATTTTAGGATGAGCTGGGGACAGTTTCACAATCTTCCGTCAGTCATCGGGCCTAATTACAGTTGGTAAAACTTTAGAAAGTAGTCGAGGCTACACTTAGTTTGATATGTTTTGCAGCTTCCCTTGGGCACCGTTAAAAGTAGGGGTGTAACGGTACACAAAAATCACGGTTCGGTACGTACCTCGGTGCACAAGTCACGGTTCATTTTTTTTCGGTACAGTAATGAAAAAAATAGACAACTATTAAATATCTTTTACTTATTGGTAACCTTATTAAAACATACCACCACAGCAGTTAACTCTTTTTACACAACTTTTGAATGAAACAAATATATATATAAAATCCTGCTGTTTTTTTAACACATTTTTTGAATGAAAAATATAAATATACATTTCAGCTTTAACAGTTTAACTCAATTAAAATAAAAAATATAGTGCAGCTGGTCAACTTTAAAGCCTGCTCAGATTCAGTTTTACTAGGAACTTACTTAGCTTTCCCACTTTGTTAAAGTGCAGTAAACAAAACATGCTTATATCTAAAGTGCAGCTTAAACAATTTTACTCAACTCCAATGGCGCTGGTTATTTCTTTAGCGTGATGGTCAGGGAAACGCTCTTTCTTTTTAAACAACGACGATATCATAGTTTGCACCAGATTGCTTTTTCTAGTCGTGCCGGTTAACGTTCAAACTCAGGTGGTGTCGCTTTAGATGCGTTAGCATGTTAGACGTGTTTCCAAGTACATACTCGACCGCTGTTCTGCAGTGTCGGCACACTGCTTTTGTCTTGTCCAGTTGTTTATTTCCATCTTCGTATTTTACCCTGAAACCAAAGTGTTCCCAAACGGAAGACTTAAGGTTTGCGGGTGGGTCTTCAGGTTCGTCAGGCTCACTTGCCATGTTGTCAAAATGCGAGAATGCACTGTACAAAGTGAAAGCGGAGATTTATGGTCGGACTCGGTTCGTCACTTAATTATGTCCATCGGGGAACTAGATATTTTAAATGGTTCGGCTCGCAGAAACTGAATTAAAATAAAACTAAATAAAATAAAATACTATCCTGCGCCCAGTAATTCGGTACAGGGTCGTGCCGAACCAAAAGTCGCATACTGAACGGTTCGACACAAATACATGTACCGTTACGGCCCTAGTTAAAAGTGAGCTATGGTTGGCTTCACACAATCCATGTATGCTTCCACTTGTCATCAGCAACACAAGGCCCACTTTTCAATCAGTCTGATTGGGCAATTACAAAAAAATGGCAGTGATGTTGGGTACTTTTTACTTTGCTCTGAGTTGAAGTTTTTTCTGCTTCGAGGTGTTCAGGGTGCTCCTGCAAAAACACGAGGTGCATAGAGTGGAAAAACGCGAGGCACTCAGTAACGCAAAAGTAGCAAGCAAAATGCTCCAGTCTCTTTGAAAACCATCACAAAAAGCCACCCCAGGCTACTAAAATGCGTTCTGTCTGATTTGGGCCTGAATCATGTTTTAATACAATACTCTTAATCTGATTAAAGTACACCAATGCCTTAAGTTGTACTGCACCAATACACCTCTCTCTTCTCCCTCTTTCTCCCCTCCTTTCCTCTGTGTGCCCTCTGTGACAAAAAGAGAAAACCCAGGGGAAGAGAAGATGGATGAGAGAAGGGACAGCAAAATGAGTCAGGGCAAAATGGGGGAGCAGACAAACCGAGCAAAATGATGCAGACTGTCTGCAAACTCTACATGGAGTGTAGCTTTAATGATTGGCTTGGGAAAAGCATGAGCAGGTGAAGAATTATTGTGAAGAGTGATGCATCAAAATGTACTGAGAGGCTGTAGTTAGGACATGATACTAAATTATCCTTGTAAATATATCTATTCATCATCCTATAATTGATTCCTCTTCTCTCATCTGCCTGCTCTTTGCTCTTTAAGAGATGCTTAAACCTGCATCCCTCACCACACAAAGGAGCAAGGTATTAATCGTCTTTCATGTCTTGCTCTTTGCCCTCCAGGAGTTGATCAGGAAGGGCATCCCTCACCATTTCCGGGCCATCGTGTGGCAGTTGCTGGGCAACGCCACTGACATGCCAGTGAAGAACCAATACTCAGAGCTGCTAAAGATGTCATCGCCCTGTGAGAAGCTCATCCGCAGAGACATCGCCCGCACCTACCCCGAGCATGAGTTCTTCAAAGGGCAGGACAGCCTGGGGCAGGAGGTCCTCTTCAACGTCATGAAGGTGAGCACTGCAGCATTTCCCGTCACCTCAAGGTCGGGCTTTCTCAGGCTTGATATTTAGCTTTTATGAAAAGGTGAGACTTAGGTCTTTTGGAATAAATGTCTGTCTGTGTGTGTAGCCATTTGGTATTCACTCTATGAGGCTTAGATGATGCACTTTGAAGTGCCAAATTAGGTACTGTTCCTCTCCTGTGGTTCTGGAAGTAGAGACAGTATGTTGTTAAAATGTTAACAATCAGGTGTCTTGGTGGCCTTCAGGTTCAAGATGCTGAACATGTATTTGTAATGTTGACAGGGACCTTTGTTGTTTTTTAATTTCCTATCAATAGGCCTGTCACGATAATTATCTAATTACTGTACGATATATGGACATGACTTTGATCATTTTGCTGTTCTCAGTATTGCCCATAGTGCTTACATGTGTGTTTGTTTACATGAGAATGTCACCAACATTTTAGCCAACATGATGCCAGAATTCACAGCAAGGTTTTCCCGACCATTACTTGGATGCAACAATTCTCTCTTTTACTCTCTTTCCACTCCTGACTACTTTTTCGAGTAAGAAAAAATTTTAACAACCCTCAAAGACAACACAGCATAGCTTACCGGTAATCTGCAGCTGCACTTTTATATTGGAAGAGGCACTGTCCTGATAGTTGTTAGCTTGCCAACCCCTGGCAATGAACTAAAAAGTCCGTCGTTTGTAGTTTTACCTTTCAACAGTTGGATGTAACAATAGTTTTCCTTTCAATAAAATTTGCCCTGTAGAGTAATGCTTACTTTCAGTGTTACAGTGAATTATGTGTATGCTTGAGGCCTGACAAACATCAGTCATGTATTGTTAAATCCTTGTTTGCTAACTTGCAGTCTTCTTCCTCACTGCCGTTGTTTCTTTGTGCTTCAGTGGCATCAACTGTTGATTAGCAGAATTGGGTGAAAACGGCAGCAAGAATGTGTGCGGTATTGCTCTGCCTGCATATTCACGTGCCTGCATGATACAAACAAAATGGGACCCACTTATAAATGTATTAATGCATAGTGCTAAACTCCACTGGCTATCTTTAATATGTTAATTATTTCATCAAAAGTTCCCAGAGCCTGAATGAATGCTTGTTTTTTCCGACTAAGTCCAAACAGAGAAATGCAGCAAATCTTTACATTTGAGAAACTGGTACCAGCATTATGTTGATAATTTGACTAAACTGATTTGGCTTAAGTGTTTGTCCAAACAATGTGTTTCAGCATGACAGGCAAGCGCTGTGTAATATTAATGATCAACAGTTACAATATTCAAATCAGAGTGACATTTTGAAACATTTTTTCCTGCTGTCATTCAGAAACAGATGCATCAAACTGGAAAGATTTGATTGGCTGTAATTAACTCCTCCATTTTGCATTTGCCAGGCTGAGTGTTACCTTCCTGATGTTATTTTGTTCATGAGACAAAATCTGTTGGGAAGCAACTAAATGTGGGGATGTGTCGTTCGCAGCCATGGAAACAAGCTTGTTGACCGTCCACTTGTCAGTCAAGTTCCCTGGTAGCTCAGCTGTGCAGGAAATGAACAGACCTCTGGTGGCTTTTTGATCCTGTTACCCACAGTCTGAGTGTTCGGTCTGGATTTCAGATGTCATCTGCTGCTGTCTGTAAACACAGCACATAAGAAATGTAATATGCTTGTGTTTTTCAGGCGTACTCTCTGGTGGATCGAGAGGTGGGCTACTGCCAAGGCAGTGCGTTCATTGTTGGTCTGCTGCTTATGCAGGTAATAATCATGTATTTCAGGAAAATGATCCATAATGAGGATATTTTGTCTCAAGGCCCTGTGCAATTTGTCTTAGGTTCATTGTAATCAATCCCACTAGGTTACTGTAATTACTACAAGACAAAGACTGTTGATTATGTAGCAGGATTAGTTGTCTCTAGAGGTTATGTGAGAAATATGTGAAACACTGTATAATAAACTGTTCAGCATAAGCAATGTCTGATTTATACCTAACAAGGGAACTTCACTCACCTCTTCCCAGATGCCCGAGGAGGAGGCGTTTTGTGTTTTTGTGCGCCTGATGCAGGAGTACCGTCTAAGGGAGCTGTTCAAACCCAGCATGGCTGAACTGGGCCTCTGCATCTACCAGTTTGAGTATCTGCTACAGGTAAAGAGGAAGCAGGAGAGTCTGTCAGCAAATAAAATGCTTGCAGTGTAACAAACATCCACAGAGGGGCAGCAAATCATTCATTTATATCTCCAGCAAGTGACTTTCTTCAGCACATCACTTTCTTTTCATGTGTCCTTTGAGGCTTAAAATCATGCTCTTTTTTTCACCTTAGGAGCAACTTCCAGAGCTGAACGTCCATTTTCGATCCCAGAGTTTCCACACATCTATGTATGCCTCTTCCTGGTTTCTCACCCTTTTCCTCACCTTCCTTCCCCTACCTGTTGCCACGCGCATCTTCGATATTTTCATGTATGAGGTAGGAAACATTTTGTGAGTGTGTGTTTAAGTGTCTGAATGTGTGTTTGACTGTTATGTTATTTTCAGTTTACTGACCGCATATAATTAAAAAAAAAAAACGACCTGTCTGTAGGGTCTAGAGATTATCTTCCGTGTGGGCCTGGCCATCCTGCAGTACAACCAGACTGACCTCATTCAGCTAGACATGGAGGGCATGTCCCAGGTAAGCAGCTGCAGCTTTATACGGCACGCTACAGAAATGAATTGTATGTACAGATTCAGAGTCAAAGGCTGAACGTCCCACTTAACCTTTTGCACGCAAGCTTCCTGAATGACAGATCTGCTCTGATAAAAGGAGGCTTTATTTGGTTTCACTAATTCAAAACAGAAACAGAAACCAGGACACTTTCAGTGATTGTATAGCATGCTTGTATCAGTGTTTCATATGAGATGAGAAACTGGCATGGTGTTGATTTTTACACTTTATGAAGCTTGTTGTTAAAAACAGTCCTGTGTATCTGGATGATCTGGATGGAGCAGCTGTGCTAACAATCATGCAGGAAATAATTAACTCCTTGACATTTAGACATATTTTGTCATATTTGCTGTACCTGTTACTATATTCACACAGCATTAGATGAGACAGATAATCTGTGAAAATAATCATACTCCTGTGCCTACTCTGTTGCCTTGTAGCATTTCTAATGACCTTAACACAAATGAACGAAAACCAAATCAGATCTGATCCAGCTGTCAATCATTTCAGTTACTGCTCGGGAACTGTGGTCAAACTGATCAAATATAAATACAGATTCGGTTACTCCATAGCCTATTTCTCATCTCAGATGTTTTCAAAAAAATATTTTAGTTTAGCTGTAAAATGAGACGGTTGATCCGGCTGGTGGGCGGTGCTTGGTACCATGGTCAGCTATTTACAACATGCCAGGTCACAGTACACTAAAATATGTTTCTGAAAACATTTGTGGTGAGAAATAGGCAATCCAGTAACAGTGTGGAGGATAAAGAGCAACATTTTCCACGTTATCTGTATCATGTATGTCTTACAGAATTGAGTGACAGTTTCAGTCACTATACTCAATATATGACAAGTTTTTTCAGTTACCAACTGTAGCTTTATTCTGTCAATTATTTGCTTGATTAATCGAACAACAATTTTGTCAATAAAATGTGGGAAAATTGTGAAAATATGGCCATTAGCCCAAGTAGCATCCTTCTAATTTTTTGTTTGTTTTGTCCAAACTCACAAAATGTTCACTTTGTTATCATAATATGATAAATAAAAGCAGCCAATATTGCCAATACCAGCAAAATTTGAGAAGCCGAAACCAGAGAATTTGACATTCCTGAATGAAAAATGAAGAGTCATCTCACTTAATGAAATAAGGAATGTTTTAATTCAAAAAAGATACATCTGTAAACATAATTTCTTCAGCTTATTGATGGATCAATATATAAATTTAATTGTCTGTGATTCACACTATAACAGACACATCAGAGTTCCAAAAATACAGCAGCTGCTGGCTCGCCACGGGGCTTCAGCCGCTCCTCTGCATAAATTATGAGTGAGCATCTTTGTCAGTCTTGAGCTCTCTGATCTTGTGTGTGCTTCCCTCTGGGTCTGCCAGCATTTCCAGAAGGTGATCCCCCACCAGTTTGACAGCTGCCCAGACAAGCTGATCCTCAGGGCCTACCAGGTCAAATACAACCCCAAGAGGATGAAGAAGTAAGAGCGCTCATTACACAACTAACAACTACTAAGACTAAGGTGGACTTCATGTAGCCCAGTAGGATTTGTATTTTCTGTCTTACTAATGGTGAGGTGTTGGCTCTGAAACACACACATCCTGTTTGATGTGTGCATGTTTTGTTTTTGTCAAGTTGGGAAGATGCCCTTTCCTGAGCTATCGTCTTCTGATTTTTGCTTAAAAGCACTTATAATGACAACAGACCACCAATCAATGAAGCACAGCAACCAACAAATAAAGGCCCAGTGTGTAAGATTAAAGGGGATTTAGTGGCATCTAACGATGAGGATTGCAGATTGCAACCAGCTGAAGCTTCTCCCGGTCAGAGTTGCTTCAGTTTTCTTTGTTCAGGGGGTTTTTACTGGGAGCTGAATCAACTGCAGAGGTCTCCTCCTATGTAAAAACAAATCGACCCCATGATTTAAGCCAGTAAAAACACTGAATAAAGCAGTTTCCTGTTACGAATCACTGTTCCTCTGACATTATGGGCCGTACGCCCAGCACCTGCTAACGCGTGCTCACCTTTTTTCTCTGGTAACTTAAGATCCAGACGTTCAGAAGGTTTTTAGCGGGAGCCAAATTATCTGCACAAGTGTCTTCCTCTCCAGAACAAATGTACCCGATGATTTAAACCAGTTAAAAAACTGAATAAAGCCATTTCACATTTAAAAAACGTGTTCTGACACTCTTGTCAACCACAGTGGCCAACAAGAAAACATAAATGTGTCGCCAGTGTTTGGTTTGTCCCTTGTGGGCTACTGTAGAAACATGGTAGGGCAATGCCAACAGCGATCTCTATGGATAAGGACCTGATCCCTATATAGGAAAAAAAACGGCTCATTCTAAGGTAACGAAAACAATCATTCTTGTTTTTAAGTAATGATACGCTAAAGAAAATATAGCTATTATATTACATTCAGTTTCTACCAAAATATCCTCCTAAATCCTACACACTGGACCTTTAAGTTCCTCTTCACCACAAAAGAAACAAACCTCTAAATGTTAAGGTAACTCTGCATAATCCTGTGTTGTTTTTATTTATGTTTTACCAGACTTGAGAAAGAATACACCACGATCAAGAACAAGGAAATGGAGGAGCAAATTGAGATCAAGGTGTGTGTCTGCTCAACAATGTGTGCAAATTGTATGTATTCGTGCATGAAGTGGATATATTGACACTTTTAATAGTGTTTAAAAAGTGAATGGGCGATATAACTCTTCTGTACCTTTCTGTCTTTGTTCAGAGGTTACGCACAGAAAACAGGCTGCTAAAGCAGAGGATTGAGACGCTGGAGAAGGTAAGAGATGGGCTCTGATTCCAGCTTACCTAAACGCTAAAGTAAATCAGGTTTGTGCAGCACCATTGAGACGAAACATCCAGAATGCTCATCATAGGACTCATCAAGTTATCATCAGATCTTCCTGTAATGAGATAACGCTGTGGTTTTAAGTTCCTGAGCTTATTTTCTGTTGTCGGTTTTCTTTTCCTGAGGAGCTTATTGTTGAAGTGTGTATGAGTGTGTTTGTGGTTGCTGCACTCTGCCGTTTTAAATCTTCTCCTCCTCTCTGAAACACTTGTTTTCTGCAGCCTCTTTTTTCTCCTCTACATTTGTTTCGAATGATTGACTCCTCAGCCTGTGATCCCGTTTCTTTCTCCTTCTTGAATTTCCTCTTGGGTTTTCTTGTGGCGTTATCCTCCCTGGTGTCCCACTGGCTTTCACTTTCTCTTCATCTCTTTTTTCACCCTCTTGTTCCTCTTCTTCGCTGCGCTGAAGGAGAGTGCCGCTCTTGCAGACAGACTGATACAGGTAGAGTACTGTGAGCCACTTTCCCACTGACTTTGCTGTCCTCTGCCCTACTCACAGCTCCCTCCTCCTCCTCCTGTTCTTCTGTCTGCTCTACTGCACTGCTTCTCTCCCTCTTATTAACAACAACTAGCTAAAAGTGCATGAAAAGAGTATTGCTGAATATCTGCTCAGTCCACAAGGCCGTCCTGTAAACCCAGAATGCATGTACTGTTTATCCATGACGGAAATATGGTCTAATGAGGTTGTACAATCCCCGCATGTGGCATGTAAGAGTTTATAATCATCACTACTATTACTGTTACACATTTTCATTATAAATACATCTCACCAAAATGTGAATGATATATTACAGTTAGACATTTTTGGTAATGCATTTATTTGCTTTCTTGCTGAGAGTTCAGTAAGAAGACTGTTATGTCTGTGTGCTGAATATGAAGCTACCAATGGGAGATGATTAGTCTAGCTTAGCATAAAGACTGGAAACAACAGGGGAAACAACTAGCCTGGCTTTGTCTAAAGTTGGAAAAAAAAAATCTGCCTACCAGCGCCCAAGTTCATTAATCAACATGCTATATCTTTTTTGTTACATTGTGGTTTTACAAGGGCGGCATGGTGGTGTGGTGGTTAGCACTCTCGCCTCACAGCAAGAGGGTTGCCAGTTTGATCCCGGGTGTGGGAGCCCTTCTATGCGGAGTTTGCATGTTCTCCCCGTGTCAGCATGGGTTTTCTCCGGGCACTCCGGCTTCCTCCCACAGTCCAAAGACATGCAGATTGGGGACTAGGTTAATTGATAACTCTAAATTGTCCATAGGTGTGAATGTGAGTGTGAATGGTTGTCTGTCTCTATGTGTCAGCCCTGCGATAGTCTGGCGACCTGTCCAGGGTGTACCCTGCCTCTCGCCCGATGTCAGCTGGGATAGGCTCCAGCCCCCCCGCGACCCTCAAGAGGATGAAGCAGTTAGAAGATGAATGAATGTGGTTTTACAAGGGCTTAAACAACAGACATTTAATGTGTTAAAAGGATCGTTTGGATTTTTCCTTACTTATTTATAGTCTGTGTTACACACAGTGGATGGTGGTGTGCATGCTGGTGTGCTTGGTCATGCCCCCAATTTTAGGAGAAGCAGGCCAAAGTGCCGACACAGAAGCTAAGTAATGTACGGCTGTGCAAAATGTTTTTTAGCCACCTAAAAAAAAGTCAATCAACAAAAAAAAAAACATCAATATTAGTTTAAGTTTACGCTATGTTTAGAATATTTTCACCACTTTACCCTGCCATCAGTGATACCTAATGGGGAACTGAAGCTGTTTTCTATGCTCTATTAAAAGCCACCAGATTCTTTTGACAAAAACAGTAATTTTACCAGGCAGAACACAGGAGTTGCTGATCTACCCTACCTCTTTTGGTTAGTTTACTTGTGTTATTGCGTGACTTTGGTGTTAAAAGAATTGGGTCAGATTTACCAAGGTCACACAATACCACACACTAAATAACTAACTGAGGTAGTGGTAGACCAGCAACTCGTTTGCTCTGCAACCTAAAATTACTGTTTGTGTCAAAGGAGTCTGCTGGCTTTGAAGAGAGCATGGATAGAGTAACAGCTTCAATTCCACATCAGAAATGGCTGTCTGATGGAAAGGTAAAACAGTGAAAATACACTAAATATAATGTACACTGAAACTGATATTGATTTTTTTTTAGGTGAGAGACTTTTTTAAATTGCTAAAATACCTTTTGCCATTGCCCCTGTCCACAGCAGTACATTGCTTAGCTTCTGTGGCAATACTCCTGCCTGCTTCTCTAAACTGGGGGCATGCCGACCGCCATCTACTGTATGTAATACACCGACTGTAGATAAGTACTTGATACAAAAATTAAAAAAAAATCCAAACTATTCCTTTAATTTGTGTGCAGGAGCTTTTTTTTTATCTTTGGACAGAGCCAAGCTGGTTGTTTCCCCCTGTTTCTAGTCTTTACGCTAAGCTAAGCTAAGCTAAGCTAAGCTAAGCTAACCAGTTTCTGGCTGTAGCACTGTATATAACGGACATATTTAAAAGTGGTATTGATCTTCTCAGCCAACTCTCTGCAAGAAAGCAAATAGGCATACTTCCCAAAATGTCAAACTATTCCTTTAAGGCTAAAAAAGTGTGCTATGTAGCACGGTTCCCCTTAACCATAATAATGTTGCCTTTCCTAGATGCCCATAATGACCCTTTTCTCTATATTGGTATATAGTCTACATTTTAAAACTTAAACTCAGCAGCTGCTCTTGATTCATTGCCCTGCTGTCCCAGGGTCAGGTGACGAGGGCGCAGGAAGCAGAGGAGAACTACGTGATCAAGCGGGAGCTGGCGGTGGTGAGGCAGCAGTGCAACACAGCCAGCGAGAGCCTCGAGAAGGCGCAGGACACCATCAGAGAGCTGCAGCAACAGAAGGTAAACACCAACCCACAATCTGTGCACAAACACTGTGGGAGCAACTAAAACGATTGTTCCAACACAGAGGATGACGGCAGGCAAAATGTCAATTTCCCTAACATATGTTGAGCAAGAGATTTATGTAGGAAGATTTTCTCTCAAGCAGTGTATCTGCACTTCTCCTTCATGCGGTCAACTGGTAAATTATTACAAAACCAAGGCTGCTTTTGTGTGCAAAACATTAAATGTAGTTCTTGATTCCATTGATACCAGGCTCTAATAAAGACACAACTAAAAAGTACAGATAGTGTGAAAGTGTTAGCAAAATTGAGAGTTAGATAAGGAGATGACTCTTGTGTCTCTTTGCTAAATGTAAAGCTATGATTCGCTACTGAATTCAGTACTTTTAAGGGTACCGACTGAATTACATTGCTATCACCGAGTACCGATTCATGTTAAATCAGTTGGTGGTGAATTTGCAGCTTATCTAAGTTGCAGTGAGTCAGGATGATGTTGAGCAAAAAGCAGTCAAAATTGCGGATACAGTTTTTAAAACTTGGCACAGACAACGCTTGCTGCAATATTTACAATGGAAAATGCAAAGCTTGCCAGGGCAGCGTGTCTAATCTGACGACACACCTGGTCAGATACAAAATATATCTAAAGCTGATTTTTTACAACTGAAATTTCATTTTTGTCATAACAGATTCAAATAGCGATCACCACTGGGTAAACGCTACACAACCCGAGAGCCAGCAGCCACTTAGCTTAGCATAAAGACCGGAAACATGGAGATACAGCTAGCCTGGCTCCTTCCCAAGGTGATAAAATCATCCTCCAATCAACTCTACAGTTCACTTATTAATATGTAATGCCTTCTTTGTTTAATCCATATAAAACTCATACAAAGTGGTGTAAACTTCCAGGCTAGCTGTTTCCCCTGCTTCCAGCCTGTAGGCTCAGCTAAGCGAACTGTTTGTGAGCGCTAGCTGTTTAACAAAAAGACATAAGAGTGGTGTCAATCTTCTCAGTAAAGTCTTGGAAGGAAAGCAAATAAGTGCATTTCCTAAAATGTTGAAGTATTCCTTGAATACTAAATATAATCTATCTGCACATTTGCCCAAGAAAGTTGTTATAAAGACTGTTATAAAGGACATCAGCTCATCTTACAACATACAGTCAGTCTGAGGTCAGACTCTGAGCAGCCACTGTTAGATTTCAATCAACTAATTGCAACACTGATTGTCTTCACATTTCAGTGGAAATAAGTTGAAATTTTAATGCAGAAGTCACCACAATATAGGACCCATTTTGCAACCCAACCACAAGGAAGGTATGTGTTTGCTCTGACAATAACCCCTCAAGTTCTCAGTATACAGAGGACATGAAAGTTGCGTCCTAACCCCTCACCTGTAATGTGAGCACGTATGACTTGGCAGTATATCAATATTATATGGATATCAATATTGTGATGTGAGACTACATATTGTCTTAGATTTCTGTTGTCTGTTGTCTTTTCCTGCTTTCAAAGGCTGTATTACAGTAAAAGGATGCCATTTTATGAACATAACGGTCTAGCTGTTCTATTATTTCCCTTATGACTTTATTTACCCATGTCGTCATCATATCCACTTGACTGATGATTATTTATCAGAAATCTTATTGTTTAAGTATATTTTGTGAAAGCACCCACAGTCCTCTCAGTCCTACAATATTGTCGCGATATTGATACTGAGATCTTTGGTCTGATACAGCAGCAGCAGTCCGGCTGTGACAAACAGAGTCATTTACAGCATTGATTATGTTACCTGCACACTAATATTCCACTATTAATGAGAATATGACAATGTTCTGAATTTCATGCGGGTCATGTAAACAGCACATGATGTTTGGATTTTCTACATTAGGCCTTTTTCCGAGCGTATTATTTTCTGATGTGAGAGGTGTAGGATGTGCCGGTATTATCGGGTTTTATGAACATTATTTAGTGGGTTAGTATTTAGTAACTTTATTTATGTATACAGCGCATTCGGAATATGCGTCTCAACTGGGGTTTTTCCACAGTTTGTGACATACGGCCTTTTGTCTGTTTACAGTGAGCTCTACATGTAGTCACGGAAACGTTGTACACAAACCAACTTGCCAACAGTTTGCAAGGCTGAGGAGGGATGCATGCCCGAAAGAAAAGTACAATTTTCTGATCTGAAAAACAAATACACCAACTTTTTGACATAATGAAAGACTTGGATGTCAACAGATTTCTGAATATGAGCGAGTTTTGCAACGCCGACCTTTTCAAAATGGTAGATGAAGGCATGAAAGAGGAAGGCAGTGCTCACATGGTCCAACATGATAAAAGACAATCAAAATGTGCCCAGCTGCATGTAAATAGGAGCATTAGTGGGATATTTTTTTAATTAGACTAGTAAACAGCTTAGTAGGAATATTGTCTTTTTTGGAATAATTGTACACATAGCCATTTACTTTCTAAAATGGTCCATTGAATAGAATAGAAACATATTACTGTCTGCTTTGTAGTACTAACTATTGTCATGTGAAGCGTCTTTGAGTGTCTTGAAAAGTGCTCTATGAATAAACTGTATTATCTTTAGTTGTAGTAGCACAAGAAGTTTTAAAGTGCTTTAGAGAAGAAAAAGAAGATAGACAGGATGGTGAAAACATGGACTCAAACTGCACGAACCGCAAATGATAGTTTTCATATCAAGAAAATATCAAACAAAAACAACTGAGCTGTAAAATATTGTCATAAATTTTTATATTTCCACATCATGAAGGTGACCAGATATACTAGCTGTACACATAGATACAGCAGTGCTGCATGAAAATGAGAAGTTACTCAACTGGCAACTTGTCGTCTTAAAAGCTTCTTCTCTGTTTTTTGTAGGTGGAATGCAGTGTAAAGTTGAGATTAAAAACAAATGAAAAGGCTGTACTTTTTAGTCTGTTGGATCAGTTAATGTGTTGGGGACAAGTTAGTATATGGAGGGAAAATAATACGTATAAAGTAAAAAAAGATTGTATTTTTTTTAGCACTGAATGACTTATCCTTTCTTAGAACTATTCCTGTGATATTATTGTCAGCTTGTGTGTAGTGACATTATATTGACCTTAAACACAGAGGTTTAACAAAGATTTTGAGTACAATTCCTTCCACATTTGCAAAAAAAAAAAAAAATCTGGGGTATGTGCAAAGATTCGCAGCATTAAGAATTTAAAGAACATGCACTGTGCAGAGATACAGATCCAAAGATGTGCATTAACATGGGCTATATTAACTGAAGGTTTAAACTCGCCAATCATTCTGCTTTTATTGCATTTTATTTTTTGACATTTCTGTGCTTCTTCCGCGTTAGTCAAACAGCCACATCATCACTCACATATTTAAACACACCCACTTCAGGAACAAGTCACCCAGGGTAACAGCACAGTACTAACAGAACATTTTGTCCTCACGTTAAAATCTGAGGAAACACAGTTGTGGTAATTATTTGCCCAACAGCTATCAAACCTGAAGTCTCTGTGTTTATTAATTGATATTTGTTTTGATTTTTTTTTTCCCCTGCATTTCATATTTTGTGTTTTTTTTTTGTTGTTTTTTTTTAATAACAAAGAAGCGACTCACACAGTCATGTCTCCATTCGAAGCTCAGAGGAAATGACTGACTTACTCATACACTAAGCCTGCAAAGCTCCCCGCCCCGAGACAGATACAGTCTGTTGTAGTTTGGACAGTTTGGGGGTTTTTGTGTTTCAGCTCTGGACTCCAACACATGGAATTTAAAACAAAGCGATTATACTACCAACGACTATATATGGTGCTGCTCTTACTGTAATTGTAGGATGTTTACATCCAGAAAGGGCTGTGCAAGTTCAGTCAGCACGTTAAATTCACAGTCACCACTTCAGCTGAAATCCAGACTTTATTTGTACAGCACTTTTCATACAAACAAAAAGAGAAGAGCCAAAACAATGTTAATCATAAAGCCGTCTAATCATAAAGACTGACATTTTTTTTGGCTAGGTTAAAAACATTGCGTCTTGCTTTTTAAATGTTTGATCACCCATTTGTTATATTACTGATGGTAATTTTAATAAACCATATTTGATCATACAGTTAGCATGAAAACAGTTCTAAAACTGTTTTTCTGAATTTATCAAATATGTGGATTTAAGTACATCTAGTCAAGTATTGCATAAGTACAACTTTAAGATACTTTAGGTACTTCTCCCACAGTTTAAAGGGAAATACCAAATCTTTTACGCCAGAGGCATTATGTTTTCGGCTTCTCCATCCGTACCTATGTCATATTCTTGTGAACGCGATATCTCAAGAACACCATAAGGGAATTTCTACAAATTTGGCCCCAAATTCCACTTGGACTCAATGACGAGCTGATTAGTTTTTGGTGGTCATAGGTCAAAGGTCAAGGTTATTGTAACTAGGGTTGGGTACCGAAACTCGGTACTTTTTGTACTTGGTATCGATTCACGTTGGTACTACCAGGTACCGATTCACTTAAAATGAAACGGTGCCAAATTTCGGTACCTGAGGTGGAGGCGGAGCGAGAGCGCATGACTCGCACCTCAGACTCAGCAACAATGGCGACAAAAACAATGTTCAGACAAAAGTTAACATGCAGCACTGTTCCTAAATGTTCTCAATAAAATGTTGAAACTGAGAAGTTTAGACTATGGGCCCGAACGACGCATAGTGCGTCCAAATTCACACCCGTTTTTCTCTGTGGATTTTCTCCGCGACCATGCGTCATAGCGAGAAGCCACGCATATCAGCGGAAACAGCAGAATTGTAGCTTTCCGACAAGGCCAAGCACTTGTTGGTAATCCAATGTTTTCACAGCGAAAAATTACAATAAAATGATGTATAACAGAGCTTTCATACAGCTTTGCACACACATTACTCTTGGATGGATTACTCGTAAATGCAGGCTCGCACAGAAATGCCACGCATATCACATGAAAGCGCAGGACCACACACAT